GGTCAGTTTCTCTCCTCATTTTACTACTAAAGAAGTGCAACACATAATGAGGCTTTCTTTCTAGCGAGCTAGTGGGCCAAAATGGTGGCTCTTCATTTACATTGTTATAATGTAAATATCGAGTATCCTCTAATGACAGATTCATCTCAGTTCTGTGACTTTCTGAAACTCTCCTTGTCTCCTCCCTCTTTGTCCTCATCTCCTCTCCCTTTATGCTCCTTGTCTTCTCTCCGTGTCTCCTCCTCTCCTCTCCTTGTCTCCTCTCTTTGTCCTCTTCTTCTCTCCCTGTCTCCTCACTCCTCTCCTTGTCTCCTCTCTCCTCTCAGAGGGTTTCCAGTCCTGGATGTGGAGAGGTCTGACCTTCCTGCTTCCTTTCCTGTTCTTCGGTCACGTGAGTAAACCTTCCTCACATCGCATGAATTAGCATTAAATTCAGAATATAGATATTTATCAGAGTGTATTTTATTAAACACACTTCTCTCCTCCTCCTCCTCCTCCTCCTCCTCCTCCTCCTCCTCTCAGTTCTGGCAGCTCTACAACAGCATCACTCTGTTCACGATGTTCCAGCTCCCAGAGTGCAAAGAGTGGCAGGTCTGTCCTCACTTTATTGTGAAATGTAACAGAACATGTTGCACCACTTCCTGTCAGAGTCAAGTCTCTCCTTCCTGATAATATATGAAGAACAACAGCTGTTCACTGAGGATAGACGTCTATCAATCTGTTTAAGAAATCATAAAAAGGGCTTTTAGCTTTGCTCTTATTAATCAGATTTCAACGTTTTCTTAAGTGACAGCAGGACTTCACTTACATTTCAGTTCAATCCCACCTTAACCCCCACTGCAGTCAGCATGTCGCTGTGTCCTTGGGCAAGACGCTTCACCCTAAATTGCTCCTGTGGGTGTTGTGGGGGGAAACTTCTGAAGCAATAGGAGTCAGGACTCAAATGGCGCATTTCCACCGCAGGCCTCGCTCGACTTAGTGCGGTTTTGTTAGGCCTTGTTAGGTCCGACTCACTTTAATGCTGCGCTTCCATTACAGTTTAGGAACTAGGGTAGTAACTATAGTAACGCAGTGTAGGCGGCGCCGTGACGTCATCTTCAATGAGCACCCCAGAAAAACAACATCAGCCGTTAACTGTTAGCACTCAAGCTCACAGCTCCTCATATATGTTCAGAAACTAGACAAAAGTTAAACAAGTACAAACCACAGACTGCCTGTGTCATGGCGAATACAGTCGCTGCTTTATTTATGTCTGTGTAGGCCGTTGTGAGTGTGGACGGTCGGAGCATATATTGCGTTAGCTTAGCCGATCTCCATTTAGACAACGCGCATTTTAAAAGGTTTTCCGCCTGCCGTCTGTCTGCAGACTTGTCAAAGCATTAATTCATGGTTTTTACTAACCGGTATCAGTATGTTGTTACTTTGGCATCATTTTTGAAACGTGTATTACAATTAAATCACGGTCAAATATGTTCATCTTGTTGTAGTTGTAGCCCCCTTGCCAGCGATTCTCTCTCTAGTTCAGCATACTCAGCCCGACTCAGCCCTGTTTGTTGGCCCCGATAGAACCACAATTTTGTCCGGCCAGAAAAGAGGTGAAAAAGTAGCCCCGGGCCGGAACTAGGCCTAGTGGAAACGCAACCAAAAACGGGCCCGGCACGACATGGCACGCTTAAACCGCGCTCTGCGCCATGGTGGAAATGCGCCAAAAGAGAGACACGAGGAGAGCTGGAGCTTTGATGGCAAACACTGACGATTTATTTGGGGCTCAGGCCGGAGAATTCACAAGACATGTCACGGGCCACGATCTGACCACACGGTTGAGATGCCACAATCAATTCTGAAGACCCCTCCTGTAGCTCCAGGTTTGAACTAGTTCAGAGTGTAATAATCAACATTCTTCAATAGATAGACTAAACAGCTGAGGACACTGAATCACATTTGTTGTCGCTTATGGCTCGAGGTCATCTACACCCCGAGAAGGATGTGTTCCAGGTGTCCCACAACAATGACTATCTCTGTCCGAGAGTTGCCCGCTCACAAACTGGCAACATCAACAAAATGCTAGGGCAGCCCCTCCTTATGGGAGATAGCGGCTGCTCAAGGCTGGTCAGCTGCATCAGAGGGCGAAGGAGGACATGCAGGGCAAATTACTCCCCAACAGGTGTTGTCCACAGTGTTGATGTATTACATGTCTGATGTATGTCATATGTAATGTAAAGCACTTGGAAAAGCGCTCAAATAAATCCAATTAATTATTCTTATTATTAGATTTGACTAAATGCAACGAAATATAGGTGTAAGGTAAAAGCAAATTTCAACAAGGAAACTTAAAAGTGGTTTCGAAAAAGACAAAGTGAAGGAAAGAAATTATTAAATAACATTTAAATTCATTTTTAAAAACAGTCTTTAAAAAGCCTAGAGAATACAAATAAAATATCAAGGTGAATTAGAAAAAAACAGGAATAAATTATACAAATAAAAGTGAAACAAGCATTTCTGAAAACATTTTTTAAAGATTTTATGTTTTTTAAAGATGATGGCCAAATGAAATACATTTTAATTCAGTTTTTTAATCAGAAAATTATTTTACAAAAGTCTGATTTCTGACTGTTTTCTCACAACTCAAAGTAAAAAGTAAACAGTGTCTCTTCAGTCTTTGAACCAAAGGGTCGCCGGTTCAAGTCCCGCTGAACCGCTAACTTGACGTTATTGACGCACACAGCTTTCCAGGTGAATAAAAGTCAGAGACAAAGTTTTCAGTTAAATACAGTCCATTAATTTCCTTTCACTGGTGTCCATTTAACTTGCTTAATTTTACCCTTTACCTTACATAATATTACGGTTCACACAATACCATAGCAAATGTTTGTAATCCCGTGTTTGCGTGTGTGTTAAAAACTGTACGGCTTTTCGTAGGAACCCTAATCCACAAACATTGGTTCCTACCTTTTATACCCACAGTGTTAAAATAAGATAAGAAGGACCTTAATTAATCCCAGTTGGGAAATTCAGTAGTTTAAACGGCAATAGGGTAAGATTGAAAAACAGGACAGCATATGAGATATATTTACATGCATGTGTGAAAACAGTGTGTATTTTATGTCCAGTAATTGGCTCCTGCAACACCTTCTCACAGGGATTGTCCTTCTGTTAACGGAGTATTTCCTGTCTCTATCTCCCAGGTGGCGATGTGCGGCTGCTCCTACCTGGTGCTCTTCATGGGAAACTTCCTCACCACGCTGGGAGTCGTCTATCAGAAATACAGGAACAACCAGGACAACAAACCCAAGAGCCTTTAGACACAGAAGCACCTTCTTGAAAATGTTCAAAGAAACCCGCTCTAAAATTCTCTTTAGAGCGTTTATCTGTGTTCTGATTGTTGTCCCTTTGGACCCTTCACATGTTCTGCTTCTCCAGAGTTTCTGTCCTCGTCTAACGGTGCCTCTCTGATGAGGAAATGTTACTGAATGTTGAAATAACCGTGTTATTTGCATCATATTTATTTCGGGAAATCACAGTTTGTTACTCTGCAGCCGCTCTGTATTTAATAAAACACTTCTCCAAAGCCCAGAGGTACTTTAGTTTGAATGTTTTCCTTTCTTTTTAAGACATCAAACATCATATATATTATTCTGAAATGGACCAATCTGCACAATGACTACTTTTACTGTCGCTACTTTAACTATATTTTGATGATAATACTTTTCTACTTTTACTTGAGGAACATTTTGAATGCAGGACTTTTACTGAAACAGAGTATTCCTACACTCTGGTACTTCTACTTTTACTCAAGTACAAGACCTGAGTACTTCTACTTTTACTCAAGTACAAGATCTGAGTACTTCTGCTTTTACTCAAGTACAAGATCTGAGTACTTCTACTTTTACTCAAGTACAAGATCTGAGTACTTCTGCTTTTACTCAAGTACAAGATCTGAGTACTTCTGCTTTTACTCAAGTACAAGATCTGAGTACTTCTGCTTTTACTCAAGTACAAGATCTGAGTACTTCTATTTTTACTCAAGTACAAGACCTGAGTACTTCTGCTTTTACTCAAGTACAAGATCTGAGTACTTCTACTTTTACTCAAGTACAAGATCTGAGTACTTCTGCTTTTACTCAAGTACAAGATCTGAGTACTTCTTGATTCTAAGTCACTAACTTTATTGATCTGATAGATTTAGTCCAAATAATCAGATAAAAAACACAAATGATAATCAGTAAAGTATCGTGTTTAAGTTTATCTTAGGAAACATAAAGGTTGTGGTACATTACTGCATTGTTTTGAATAACCACAAGGGGGCAGCAGTGAGCTTTAATAGCTGATCTGGAACCTGCTTTACATGCAAGGAGAAGAATTCATCCATTCAATATTTACATTTTTGTCAAACATCATCACTAGTTTTGCAAGTGAAGGCAATAACCCCCATAAAATATAAATATATACTTGGAAGAAATGACTCCAAAATGACCCACAATGCATCCTGCTTAATGTCATCTCACAGTATATTTGAACATTTTGCTTGATTTTTGGTTCAAACATGATCATATGCATGCAGGATAAAGTAAGAATTGATAAGTACTTTTGTGCACCAAGTAATGAACTACCCTCCTAGTTCTACCAAAGAGATGTATGACTTTAAATCCAGAATATAAATGTCAGAAGCATTTAAAGATTTAATGAAACTAAGAAAAGTGTCCCCTTAGTTTTTTATATTTCATTTATCTTTGAGTGCATTAATCTATTTTAAAGGCCTTACAAAGAGGGAGAGCTCATATATTAATGCATCGATGCTGTCTTGTGTGGATATATTTTAAATAAAAGCTTCATGAGTCGTCTCTATAACTTGTGAGGGTTTGAGACTGCAGAGACTTCAGCACAGCGTCATGATTTAAACATTTAAACTTCTGCAGCAGAGCCGGTGGCGGAGCACAAAGAGAAATGAAGAAGAGTTTCTGCACAAAAGATCACAGGGAATAATACCTGAGAAATGGAAAATGGAAACCGGCCTCACGCCCAATTTATTACGATCAAAATCCCTGGATGTGTTAGTGCTGCAGGGCGAGGGACGAGCGAGCGAAGAAGAAGAGGAGGATGAAGAGGATGATGAAGAGGAGGAGGGTTTTCTCCCAGCCTGCACCTCTTTCATCTTTCTCATTAAAGCATGGAGTGAAAGGGGGAGAAGTCGAGCCCAAGGACACCATGGGGAGTTTAGGGTGAGGAAATAAAGAGAGGAGGATGTCAAACATTCACCTTCCTGTTGTGTTAGTTCGGGTCAAATCTGACCGACTCGCCACCTTCATCACCACCTTCATCACCACCTTCATCCATCAGAGAGACTGAGCTTTACATCGATCAGGTCGAGGCCTTATGATGTCCTCCACAGTAGATGTAAAAAAAACATAACAATAAAGCCGTTATTGGCATTTTATGAGAAAATACAACGAGATGTTTGAGGTGTAACCCTGTCACAGTGCACAGTGACGACAACAGACAAACAATTAAAACACGACAATGTAAACAAATGAACAGGGGGGAATACATCATGAGAAATTGAAAACATCTCGACATTTGAACACGTAAAACCACTTTCATTTAATTTTGAGTGAACTTTGAAACACCTTTGATCAAAATTGACCACCGTGAATGGGTAATTATGTTCATCCATCAGAGAGCACACACCCACACATCCACAACAATGTTGATTCTGGAATTCATTTTAGTGTGTATTCTTTGTGTATTCACTGCAGTAATTCATGTACTAAACCATTAGTTTGGGACATCGTTTACAGCTTAAAAGGGAGTCAACCTGGGGTCAAATTTGACCCATTTCAAAATGTTTTAATGTCTGGATAAAAGGTTTATTTTAGTGCCAGAAAAATAACATGTTTACTCGTATATTCTACGTTTATCCAAGAGAAAGGAATAATGATCAATTTCATTAGGTTTTGGATTTTATTCAAATGTATAGTGGTCTTAGGGTTAAGGTTAGGGTTAGTTAGGGTCTTCTGGGGTACATTTTGTAAAATCTTTCAACATTTTTATCTGTTTTTAACTCAGAAATGACGTTTGATTTTGTGTCAATGAGGTCTTTTGATCATACATTTAAAAAAACAAGAGTACATAAAAAGTTCTAAATAATGTGGTGATGTTTTTGTGTTAATGTAAGAGCAGTTTAAAACAGAAACACTGAAGTAAAAGGGGGGGGAACAACCAAGACAGGAGGGTCAAGTCAACCCTCCATGGCCCAGATAAAGAGCTCTTATCAGGCCTCACCTCCTCCTGCCTGGGGGGGGGGGGGGTTTCTGGATGAGAGGGTCCCAAATACAGAAGCTTTAATTCTGAGAGCGAAAATGAAAGAGAAGAGCAGCGTCCATCTGGGAGCGACTGATTAAAAGAGAGGAGAGAGAGCGGCTTACTCTGAAACTGGAATATGTGGTCGTTATCTGGAGGAAATCAAATCAAAGCGAAGTCTTCCCACTGAAACACGGAGGATATTATTCTCTTTATAACATGTTGGAGTTCAGCTTTCTGCATTTCATACTTTGGTGCTTTTACTTTTGTTTTAGAGCTGAAGGGTACATACTAATGCTTGTGTCGAGTATGGAAATAACCGTGGTATTATTGAAATGACAGTTTGTTAATCAGCAGCCGCTACGTATTTAATAAAACACTCCTCCAAAGCCCAAATGTATTTTAGTTTAAATTGTTTTTTTATGTTATTTCCTTTGAATAACTGTCCAAGGCCAAAACATTTGACTATTGAACCTGTTGGACGGCTGTGGCTCAGTGGATAGAGTGCTGGACCTCGGATCAGGGAGTAGCAAGTTTGAGTCCCACTGCAGTCAGCATGTCGTTGTGTCCCTGAGACACTTCACCCCAAATTGCTCCTGTGGGGATTGGCCACAGTGCTGAATGTATGTAAGTCGCTTTGGATAAAAGCATCTAACAAATGACATTTAATGTAATGTTGTGTTTAACTTGTATTATGTTCTACTTTTTTAATGCTGTTTTAATTCTATTTTGAGAAAATTGTTAATTTCTACTCTTTTGATTTCTACTTATGTGCAATGCCTTGTTTTTGAAGCTGCTGCAACGCAAACAAATCCCAAATTGGGATCAATAAAGAACTTCTTATCTTATTAGAGAAGTGACCTTTCATTCTGCAACATACTATTCACACAGGACGTTAAAAATGATATTCTAGACGTTAGAAAATCATGATTTCACGTTCATATTATGCACTTCTGCTTAGTTGCTAACTGCTTTTCATTGGCTTGTAGAAGTTAAATGTTAATGTAAACTCTGCAGGGAGACTGGGAGTCAATCAGCGGAGAGGAAGTGAAATAAATGCAGATCATTAAAGTAAATGATTGAACAAAATACGTCTCATAATGAAGAAAACACATCTCTGTTCTCCTGCAGCTCCTCGTTAGTAAATTACATCCCATGACACACACTCCTTCACCTCTGAAGTATGAACTGAGTGCCAAATTAAATCTGCATTTTTAATAAGAGGGGAACATGATTACATCCATGAGTTAAATGAGAGCATGAAGGGGGAGGAAATCAGAGAGAGAGAGAGAGCCTGCAGTGTGTGTGTGTGTGTGTGTGTGTGTGTGTGTGTGTGTGTGTGTGTGTGTGTGTGTGTGTGTGTGTGTGTGTGTGTGTGTGTGTGTGTGTGTGTGTGTGTGACAGAGAGAGAGTGATTGAGAGAAAAAAGAGAATTCATCTTTATTTTAATATTTAAACACGGCTCTTTGGGAGTTCCCCCCTCTCTCTCTCACACACACACACACACACACACACACACACACACACGTACACACACACACACACACACACACACACACACACACACACACACACACACACACACACACACACACACGCACACACACACACACACACACACACACACACACACACACACACACACACACACACACACACACGCCATACGCCTCAACATTTCTACCTTCTTCTCAAACGATCAAACTGCATTTTGGAGCAGCGCGTCTTTTCCTCTTCTCCTCAAAGCTGTTTTTTATCCAACCGGCGCAGCTCTGATGAAAACATCTTTTACAGTAAATGATTCTCAAAACAACACAAAAATGTAGTTCTGCTTTTATGAACGCATGACAAATAGCTCTCTGATCTTTGTTAATACCATCATTTAAAAGGGCTCTCAAACGCCTCCATTTGACTCCTTTGTTAACTGCCTGAACATAGTGACATCACTCACTCTCCTATTGGCTAGCGCTCCAACACTTTGTACGTGATAGACTAAGGGGCAGGACATCTCTAAGCGGTTGACCAATCACAACTGAGCCGGCCAGCTAACCAATCAGAGCAGACTGGGCTCTGGTTTCAGACAGAGGGTGAAAAGAGGTGCTGCAGCACAGGCAGTATGAGAAAAATAAAGAGCTTTTTGAACATTAAAGCATGGAGACATGAGAGACACTACATACAGATATACACCTGAACATCAGCAGGAGAGGACTCTTTAAAGTAGAGACACTACATACTGATATACACCTGAACATCAGCAGGAGAGGACTCTTTAAAGTAGAGACACTACATACTGATATACACCTGAACATCAGCAGGAGAGGACTCTTTAAAGTAGAGACACTACATACTGATATACACCTGAACATCAGCAGGAGAGGACTCTTTAAAGTAGAGACACTACATACTGATATACACCTGAACATCAGCAGGAGAGGACTCTTTAAAGTAGAGACACTACAAACTGATATATACCTGAACATCAGCAGGAGAGGACTCTTTAAAGTAGAGACACTACATACTGATATACACCTGAACATCAGCAGGAGAGGACTCTTTAAAGTAGAGACACTACAAACTGATATATACCTGAACATCAGCAGGAGAGGACTCTTTAAAGTAGAGACACTACATACTGATATACACCTGAACATCAGCAGGAGAGGACTCTTTAAAGTAGAGACACTACATACTGATATACACCTGAACATCAGCAGGAGAGGACTCTTTAAAGTAGAGACACTACATACTGATATACACCTGAACATCAGCAGGAGAGGACTCTTTAAAGTAGAGACACTACATACTGATATACACCTGAACATCAGCAGGAGAGGACTCTTTAAAGTAGAGACACTACATACTGATATACACCTGAACATCAGCAGGAGAGGACTCTTTAAAGTAGAGACACTACATACGAATATGAACCAAAGAATATGCAGGATAGGGCCCCTTAACGTGACTTTCCAATAAAACGTTGCACAGAGCTATCTGACCAATAAGGGGTAGGTGTCCTTTTATAGGTTGCAATCATATTGTACATAATGCAGTATGTAAACATTTAGGACATACTTTCATATTGACCTCATTAATGTGCTGCACAGAGGATTGTGGGTCAGAATACTCAGATATGTACGCTGGTGTTCAGACTGTAAAATGTGCGAGGATGCATATTTGAGATTCTACTATTCATGGCAAACCAAACATTTTTCTGGCATATTAAATATTATTTTAGTTGCAGCTCGCAGCTCTGTGAAGCTGCGCTCTGAGATATCCTTCACAAGCATTTCATTTGGTGTTCAGCATTAATGCTTACTTTGCTCTGAGCATTGAGGAATTACATTAAAATATTCAGCAGCAACATATCTGTCCAGAAACAGTGTCTGCTCTGCATAATCCACCGAGTGCTCTGCAGACTGCTTTCACTGGAAATCATTATTTATTTTTTAATGAAACGATAGCGGCTAGGCTTAATGATGTTTGTGTAATATGCAGACTTTGTAAAGAGAGTTCACGGACCATAATGCTGTGTTAGAGGAAGTACTCAGATCCTTTATTTAGGTAATACTACACTGTAAAGATACTCCGGTACAAGTGCAAGTCCTGCATTCAAAATGTATTAAAGAAACTTAAGCTGTTACATACATAGAGAGGTAAAAACTGCTGTATTTTGAATGCAATTAAAGTAGAAGTATCACATTGCATGTAAAGAAAATACTACCGCAAGTACTTCAAATGTGCACTTTAGTAGAATACTTTATACCTCCCTCCCCTGCAGACTTTGTAAAGAGAGTTTACGGCACTAAAGTACTCAGATTCTTTATTTA